CTCTCTCTCTCTCTCTCTCTCTCTCTCTCTCTCTCTCTCGTTCCAACTGGCTTTGACCTGGAGAGGGTCTATATGTCTATTGTCAGGAACCTGTTTGTCATGTTAAAAAAAAAAAGTCCTCAGAGATGGCAGAGGGAAACTTTTCTGGAACTGAGTGTGGGCAAGCCTATCTTCCTGGCAGAGATGCCCAAGGATAGGGGAAATCAAATGTGAATGTCCATCTCCTCCTTTGAAATTCTATCATTTCTGCCTGTCGGGGATGGAAAGTGAGTGGGCATTATCTGTAGTGGTACTCACTATGATTAAGAATGAGGTGAATTACCAAAGTTCCCAAATTGAATTGACTTTGGATGAGTACTGGGTTGTGCTTTATCACTCAAGCTGAAGGCACTTGCCAGTGGAATCAAAGTCACCAAAGACTGGTGTACTCCAGGAAAAGTCATACGAACAGGGGCACAAATCATTACATTTTGTATTCATCTGAGCTGTGCCCTGGGTATTCATCTCTGAGATGTATCATTTTATTGGAAGGAAAACAAAGGTGAGATGTCCTAAGCATCACATGTTGTCTTAGGAGCTAGAAGAGACATTAGAAAATCAAGCCCCTGAATTTTGCACAAGATGAAACTGAGGCACAGAGACATTAGGCAGTTGCCTGAAGTCTCACAGCTTGTTACCCACACAGATGGGGTTTTTTTGCCATCCCACACCAAAGTAGTGTTCTTCCTTTGCCATCCTTGAAGGTTGCCTCTTCGTCCCTCTTGTCTTCTGCCTGACTGTGGACTCTATACCTTCAGTTTTCACCCTTGTACATGCAAGGTACTGCAGAACACTTGAACAGACAAACAATTTCTCCATCAAGTGTTTTCACCTCTTGCCAATACAATTATTCCTGACAGCAGGCTGGCTGATTGAGCCATAAACTCTAAAGGGTGGTGGGGGAGGCGGGGGCAGGCAGGAGTAAACACTAGCCAACCATTCAGCAAGCGCTGTGAGTATAAGCCACCCAATCCCCATGGCTGCTAGGAAGAAAATCCTACTAATGCAGGCGGCTTGGCAAGGTGGTGATGGAGCCTGCCAAATGGGCAAGAAGAGGTCCCACTTTGGATGTCACTTGATTTGTAGAGCTGGTACAGAGAGGCAGAAAAGAGTTGAGTGTTGCCAAGGAGGAAAGAGAATAAAATTAAATTCCCTGAATTTATATGTGAATTTTCTTCTAAGTATGCTACTCAAAACATAGAAGAAATGTCTAGGTTGTAATTAAGATGTGTGTGTGTGTGTGTGTGTGTGTGTGTATATACACACACACATATATATTACTTTTCATATTATTATCCTGCAAATCATTTCATCTGGATGGTATCTTTAAACCTTTCCCACCTCTAATGTGGCAAGTTTGCATCTTTTCTGTGCTTTTAAACCCCTTGGCAGAACTGTATACATTAACAGATTGAAATGAGCTTTATTGAAATTTAGCTATTCTAAGTCATCTAAGTTGCAGAATCCCAATTTATTATGTATTTAAAGCATACCAGCACTGATTAAATCAATGCAAATTAGGTTAAATAAGAACAACATGAATCAAGTGTTTCAGCAAAGTTGAGTTGAGAAACGACAACTTTTGAGTCACCACAAGCAAGTTGATATAGGCTGTTTTTCACCAGTTTTAATTCCATGCTTTTTAGGGTCCAACACACTAAAAAGTAAAAAGAGAAAAGAATTCACCTAAAGTTCTTTCTTTTCTCATGTTTGATCTTTCATATCTCTTTACCTGTCTCATGAGATCATCTGATTCAGGGTATAATGTGGCTATAGTGTATACTTGATCAGTCTGGCTAACCACAGGTTTCTGTTGGCAAATGTCTTCTCCTTCAGTGTTGGATGCTGATGAGAGACACTTTACATGCTTTAAAAACATCTTTAACATTTTCCATGTTTGTATGGGGAATGAGCTTATGCCTGTTTTGCCAAACCACCATGGTACAGTAGTCAGGCATCAAGAAAATTACCCCAAGACATCATGTCAACATGTGACTGGGAACTGAAGTAAGAAAGGATAAGAATCTTGAAAATGTAGATTCAGAAAGTGGAAGGAATGCTGGGATACGATCTGATTGCCAAAACACAATGTGTAGCAAAGCAAGCTTGATACAGCTGGAGGGGCCAGAATATAGCTTGGAAGAGTAAGAGGTGATCAGTTTCTCCTCTTCTAAACCTTACAAATGAACCTTTGCATAATAAACCCTCCTGCTTTCTCTTGGTACTTTGTGTTGTGATGGGGGGCTGGCGAGTGTGTGTGTGGGGTAATCAAACAGTTTTGAAGGGATATGTCTTTCCCGTTTCATCTCAACTGAAGGTCACCTCCAGTTTGTTCACTGTAGTCAAAATCATTTGTGAACCAAGAGGTGCAAGTGGAGAATGTCTAAAGTGAGCATGCATCCTGGGGATTGGCTTTCCATTAGTAGTCTTGGGCAATGTTCAAGACAAGAAAAATTTGAGCAGTGATTTTAATGTTCTGTCATCGTCTGCACCAGCTCGGACCTTGATCTTTATGCTGTTGTCTTTAATTTTCAGTAGCAGTGAACCATAGCTTTTCTTTAAAAGGAAACATTTAGAGGAAGGGGAGGAAGGTGGGAGTCATAATTTCAGAAGGAGAGAATTAACTCTGTTGTTTCTGTAGGTATACAGTGTAGAGCTGGCATTTTACAGAATGCCTCTGAAGATGGATGTGGGACCAAAGGGTGAGGGCCGTAAGGCTTCTCTCAGGAGATCTACTTAGGAGAAACAAATTAAAGAGGGGAAGTAATTTTTTCTCATCCAACTTTGTCTTCCTCTTAAAACCAGGTAGTAGTACAAACAGAACTAAGGAAATAACTACCATGTTCAGTGCATGGTATGAGTTATGGGGGTAAACCCAAGAAATGTTTTGACTCAGTGCTTTCCTCCAGGAGCTTTAGGTGAGAAGGAGAAGCAGACACTGAGGAGGAACTTGGCCGATATTTATACATTTCCCAGTGCTTGAGAGTAAATGTCTCTGGAAGATACACATGACAAGAACTGAGAGGTCACAGTGGGGCCAGTGCTTAAAGTCTTCATTGGATGGAAGTAAAGCTTATGAAGGAGTTTATGGACTTGAGATATAGGTGCTCTGACAGGAGGGGTAGAATTGTAAAAGTGTAAGTATAAGGATGGGAACTGGAGTGCTTAAATCTTTTTGATTGGGTCAGTTTCTTTGCACTGGGGGTAAGAAGGTAGAGACAAATGGAATTTCTGTGGTGTTGGAAGAAGAAAAAAGTTGGTAAAGGGCTTCCAATACCATTGTGATAATCTGAACTTGCTATGTTCTTCTAGTCCCTAAGGTCTAACGCTTGAGAGTAATCTTTGACTCTTGTAATAAATATCTGGCTTAATTCAAGAGACCTGTTGTGCTATGCAGGGCCCCTCTCTGCAAGTTCCCTCTGCACCGCCGTATGTTCTAATCATGTCATATTATACTGAACTGCTGTATCCTCTCTCCATCTCACCTACCTTCATTCTAGCTGTCCTTCAAGGTTGCTGTGAAATTTCTTCTATGGCTTCTTCACAGATCCCCTTGTAAAGAGATCTTTCATTCTTCTGAGCTCCATTAGCAGCTTGTCCTTACCAACCCTGTGCCTGGTCCTGTTCCCTTTATATAAGTGTGGCAGTGATTTCTAACTACAGTATTTTAGAACTGAATGGGACATTAAACATCTTGGAGACTAGAGTAAAAAGATCTCCACTGGGGTCCTTGCTTTGCCATTTTCTGCCCATTTGATCCCACACAGGTCACTCTATTATCAGTGAAATAGGACTAAGGATGGCTATTTTAAATTCAGTGACACCATGTATATTGGTATCTTGCAACTCAAAAGTGTA